TGGAGCTGTGCACTCAGGCTGCTGAGTGTTCCTCCTTACACACCCATTACATCATGGAGCTGTGCACTCAGGCTGCTGAGTGTTCCTCCTTACACGCCCGTTACATCATGGAGCTGTGCACTCAGGCTGCTGAGTGTTCCTCCTTACACACCTGTTACATCATGGAGCTGTGCACTCAGGCTGCTGAGTGTTCCTCCTTGCACACCCGTTACATCATGGAGCTGGCTGTTCTGTGCGGTTTCCTCATTACCTTCTTCCAACCTTACAAATGCCATTTTGGTTTGGTTTTTTTTTTTAATTTGTTGTTTTGTTTTGTTTTGTTGGGTTTTCAAGACAGGGTTCTTCTGTGTAGCCCTGACTATCCTGAAACCCTCTTTGTAGACCAAGCTGGCCTCAAACTCACAGAGATTCTCCTACCTCTTCTTTGTGAGTGCTGGGATTTAAGGTGTGCACCACCACTGCCCAGGAACATTTTGTATTAAAGTCAAATGTTGTTGAAAGTTGACTTTTCTTTTCTATTAGAAATTTTGTAAGTCTTTGACAGTATTTTCTTTATCTCTAGAATTTTTCCTAGTTGATTTTTATTTATAAATCATTATTTTAAATCTAAAATGTAAATGTTTTTCTTAGAGTTTGTCCTTCTTTATTTGTGTATGCACAAATACATTTTTTCTCTAGTTATTCTTTTCATAGGAAAGAATGTGGCAGTTTTCCCATAGGAGTGAGTTATAATGCCAGGGTAAAAAGGGGGTCTAAGAGATCTATTTTTAGCTCATGCCTGATGTCCTGCTAAGGATCGATTCTTACTGTGTAACCTCTACTGAAATATTGTGTTTATCTAAACTAACTCTGCAGCAATTCAGCCTCATCCTAGGTTGAAACTCCTTCATTTGATCACTTCTGTTAGTTAGCCCATTTTTGAAAAACTTTTGTTTCTGCCCTCTGAAGCCTACCATGTTGTGAAGTAATGTCTAACATTTGCCAGTGTGGGATGATTGGAGGATGACTAGATGTTTTGAAGTGAATTCCATGTGTCATTCCTAATTAGCCTGATGATTAAGCATCAGAGTTGGTTCCAATTTTTAAATAAATATTTAAGGATGGTCAGCTCATTTGCATTTGTGCTATGCTGCCCATATTTATCAATACCTGTTGATATGCATCTCACCAGAACTTCAGGTCATACTGATATTTTTTACATTGAGTTATGATTAAAGTATATTCTGATTGCACACACTGTTATGATAATGATCACAAATTAAAGCTTTTTTTATTCAACTGATAAGTTTATACTTTTTTTCTCATCTAGAATTCTCAAGCAATATGATCACCCCAATATTGTCAAACTTATAGGCGTGTGCACACAGAGACAACCTGTCTACATCATTATGGAACTGGTTCCAGGTAATGCTATTTGAGAGCTTTACTTGATGGCATTTTGATATAATGGTTTATTGCATTTTTATGTTCAGTCTCTTTGATATTTCCTTATAAAGTTTCCAAGGAGTTTTGCATAACTATTTCCTGATAACAAAGCCTGCGTATATACTCAGTATTTTTATAGGCCCTAACATGTTTCTATTTTCAAGAAAGTGTCAGCCAACACTTCTTGAGACAGATTTCTTTGAGTGTAGTTACACATGGAGTTCAGTTATATAGAATGGTTGTGTGTGAAAAGCTGCATAGAGACGCTGAGTATTAGTATCACGTGACCGCAGTGTAAGAACCGTCTGACATTTCATCCTTGTGTGTCAGTCAGTGTCCATCTCCACACATTCTCTTTGTGATTCGAAATCTCATGGGCTTCACGGTCACTTGTGGGTTCTGGGCTGCTTTCCTGTGTGGCTCATACAAGGGTGAGCTCCCTCGGAGTCTTCTTGGGACACTTTCATGCCTGGCGTTCTTTAACAACTTGTAGTAACAAGCATGGGCAACCTCAAACTGACATAGTGTGCTTAGAGTTTTTCTTGTTGTCTTTCTCCCTGTTGTGCAGAGATAAACTTTGATCTTGATACAGTTTACAGTGCTTTGTAACCAAAAAGGGTTTGCTTTGCCCTGGTAGTGTCTACCTCACTTACTTTAAAAGAAGGTTAAACGAATATGAAAATTATTTGTAACTGTAATTCAGATCCTTAGTGTAAACCCAGTGTTGTGGATTCCCTGGCGAATATGGCCGGTAGAATGTTCCCACTGTCGGGTTAGCTTCCTGTCTTATCTCACTGCTCTGCTTGCTACCGAAATACTCTAGCTATCAACGGTAACTACAGCACACATAGATTGCCACTAACTTTATGGAAATGGCACTGTCTGTGGTAGGTGTACAGAATGCTGGCATGACCTGTACATGAATGAGCACAGTCTAAAAACTTAGGAACAATTGAATAGTGTATAGTTATTATTAGAACAGATGTTTAAACAGATACATGCTGACATTTGTGTAGGTGCAGAGGAAGCTCTTGGTTAGTAAGAAATGCTACTAAAAAGCTTCGGTTTGGGAGGTGGGCCAAACTTGAAGTGACTCTGGTTAGCATGGGTGCAAGGTTCTGATGGCAGACATGAGCTGAATAAACCCAAAGACAGTCGTGTACCATAGCCAGGCACATATGCATGCAGTGACAGATGTAATATGCTGCTTTGGACACAGTATGACAGTGAATGTCTTCTAGACATCGGGCCAGTGGTCTTCCTGGGCCGCAGCACTTGCTCATGTCTTGACTTTTTCTGTCTGCTTAACTTGTGGTGATGTTACTGTTTCACAATCACCAATCACTTCTCCCCATCTCTTGGCGTCACTGTAAAGCATTCTTTTTTGTCAAATTGCTGTGGTTTATCTGGCCAGTATTTATTTGACTTTCTGTGCCTGTTTCCTTTGTCTTGTCTTTTTTCTCTTTGTTTTGCAAACAGTACTCAAGCACTTTCCACTCTCCTGAACTTCCTTGGAGATACACTCAGCCTTGTGACTCGTTCCTGCTTTGCCTTGACATGTGTGGAGCTCCTAACACACTTCTGTAGTCTAGGAGCTTACCGTACCTCATTCATTACCTCACCGTAGAGTCCATTAGAAGGTGAACCTTGACTGGATTTTCGCAAGACTATGTTAAAACGTGAGGCTGAGTTCTTACTGGGGACTTTTGAGACTAATCTACCATCAGGATTGCTTAGGCATTTGCAGAATCCTGTCTGTACTACCAGTGGTTCTCAGCTCTGTATCTCAGCTCCTTCTCACAGGTCTGTGCATCTTCATAGCACATGTTTGCCATGCCTGACACTTCACTGGTATTAGACTTCTCAGGTTTACACTTACCAGCTGTGGACTTGATGTGATGAGATCAGTCCACTTAGATAACCTCCCTGTATGAAGGTCAGCTCTGCCATATGACCGAACTTATTTATGAGAGTGGTACCTAATGTCTCTAGGATCCTGAGGTTACAGTGGGACATGTTGGGACAGCATCTTTCAGTCCTGCCTACCACAGTAGATTTTGCTACATTTTCTTAAAGACTAGTTGAATTGTGGAAACTAAAACTCTATTAATGAGCTTTTCATACAAGGTTATATTAAGTCCATTGGTTGATATGCAATTAAAATGTACCCTTTGCTCATGCATGACTCTGCAGCATTATGATTAAGTCATTTGGAAAACATTGGGTCATTAGGGAATACAGATCTTTCTAATAGTGACACAATCATTATATAGTATCCAAAGAGCACATTCATTAGTGTCTCACGTAATCTTACTAGGAAACTAATGGGGACACTCACCGCTCATGGTAGCAAAAGCATGTTTTTGCAAATTTTAATTTTAATTTAAGAGATTTTTTTTATCGCAGGCCTATCAGCCTTTTTCTTTAAAGAGTGACCCTCTCTTCACTTTTGAGAAAATAACTGCCAAACATCTTCACTTCTTTTTTTTTGTTTTTTTGTTTTTTCAAGACAGGGTTTCTCTTTGTAGCTTTGCGCCTTTCCTGGAGCTCACTTGGTAGCCTAGGCTGGCCTTGAACTCACAGAGATCCGCCTGGCTCTGCCTCCCGAGTGCTGGGATTAAAGGCGTGCGCCACCACGCCCGGCTCACATCTTCACTTCTTATACCCATGAATTTTTCCCTTTCCTTTCTTTTCAAAACCTGGCTTAATGGGAGGTGTTTGATGCATAATACAGACTAGTGTGCATAAAATATGTATTTACTGACATTTATATAAGCCTTTGAAAGCTTTACCACAGCCCGGCAGTGAGCACGTCTGTCACCCTCTGATTCTCTCATGGCTGTCTGCGGTTCCTCCTTGGCTCTTTTCCAACCCTGGTCAGCCGCCCAGTCAGCCGCTGGGCCACTGCCTGCCCCATCAGTCAGTGTTTCTTAAACCTTTGTGTGTATTTATTGTTTTCTCAAGTCTTGTAGGTAGTGTAATTTTGTGAGATTAATCCACTTTTTTTATTTTTCCTTAGCATACAGAATAATGGTTTTTTTTTTTTCTTTTTTTTTTTTTTCCGAGACAGGGTTTCTCTGTATAGCTTTGTGCCTCTCCTGGAACTCACTTCGTAGCCCAGGCTGGCCTCAAATTCACAGAGATCCACCTGGCTCTGCCTCCTGAATGCTGGGATTAAAGGCATGTGCCACCACCGCCCGGCCAAAATAATGTGACATTTTCATGCATATTGTTGTGCCTTACATTCGTCCCTCTTTCTCTCCCCTGACTTCTCCATCTTCATTTTCCCCCTTCATTCCCCCAAATAGTTTTTCTCCTGCTTATGTGTGTGTGAGAGAGAGAGAGAGAGATACTTTTGCCTAATATTTTACAGTTGACATTTTGATTGACATTGTCGTCTGTTCTACCCATGCTTTTGTTGTCTCCATTTCAAACAAGCTTAGTAACTGCTTTGCAAGTGTCCAGTGTGCAAGCTTTCTAAAATGTATCTGCAAAGATTTTAAGTGTCCGTGCTCTTGTCAGATAAATAAGCCCTCAGGAATCATAAATCCCAAATACAGCTTGTACCAAACTAACACTTCAGAGTGTAAATATTTGAGAATTCCAGTTTAAAGTGAATATTCCAAGATATCCCTGTATTCATTTACATCATCTCTTGAGTTATGAATCCTTTACCTGCTTGTTTCCTGATTGCTGGGGAAGGAAAACCAGAAGTCAATTCTAAATGGCCATGGGAGCAGCAATCACAGAAGTAGGAAGCCTTAGGATAGATGACCCTTGTTTTGCAATTCAAATGCAGATGAGGGTTTCGTTTTGGTTTCTGACAAATGATGGACGTAAGGAATGCTTAGAGTCCGGGCCACTGTTGCTTGTTTGAATGTCCACGTCAGGTCCGCACCGTCACAGACAGCACAGCAGGCAGCAGCTGGAGTCTGGACCACCAAGCACAGCAGTTTAGGAAGGAAGGCTGGAAGGCCTGGCCTCCTCACTCCATATGGCGACTCGCCCTTCTCTTGAATTCATGTCTTCCTGAAGTGATTGAATATTGGTTCTCAGGTCACACAGACACATGGCCCTGGACAAACCCACAGAGTTAACTGAATTTAAAGATGAGTTATAGTTGCCGGGCGGTGGTGGCGCACACCTTTAATCCCAGCACTCGGGATTAAAACAACAACAACAAAAAGATGAGCTATAGCTTTATAGCTTTAAAACTTTTAGGATTATTGTAGAGTTTTATGAAGGTTTTGGACATTATGAAAATATATCTCAACTTAATAGTATGATTTATAAGAGAAAAGCAAGTTTATTCAGTTTCTGTTGTCTGAATATTTGGGTTAGGCATCCAGACAATATCCGTCTCATAAGCACTGTCCAGCTTCTGGAGAAACCTTTCAGTTCCACAGTCCCTCCTTTGAATTACTCTGCTTTGTCGTTTCTGCAGTTAAGTTTCAGTACATTTTTTTTTTTTTGCCAAAAGAGTAAATTATTTTAAAGAATTTTACTCTTTATTTTAAGAATTTTACTCTCCTTTATGTTGAAATGTATTATTTTCATTTGATTGTAACATTATCAATTGTAGTCATGTGCCCTCACACCTGTGAATTTAGCTGAGAAATCACTGGCACTACAGCTGCAGGTTACTTGGTAACTCGGTCCCAACATTTGGCCCTGGATGCTGGCCTGATACTTGTTTCTTCCTCTCTTCATAGAGAAAGGGCAAACCTCGCTGACAGGGACTAAGGGGCGTCTTTCCTCCCATAAAATTACCTAATGCCGGGTGACTATCATCACTCCTCAGTAGACAAGAAGAAGGACAGGAAAGGAATTCTCAAATTAATGTTTATACAAAACATTAAGTTTCTGGTTGTTTGGAGATAGAGTTTCCCCCCATGTAGCCCTGGCAAGCCTAGAACTCACTCTGTAGACCAGGCTGGCCTCATACTCACTAACGTGCCAGCCTCTGCCTCTAGAGTGCT